TTTAAGGAGACGGCGATTGGAGGAGTAGGGCAGGGATGTGCGTATCGCGTCCGTCGAGAAAAGCGCGCACGGGCTGGGGATCTATGAATGAATCATAGCCGTCGGATTTGTTAACTTTTCTGTTTTGCCCTCGGATTTTGTACAATGCTGTACTTGCTTAGTAATTTTGCAAATTGTTCGGCTCTGTGCTTTTTATATCCCCGTCTTTTTTTGATTGGCGGGTATCAAATTCTCGAAATCTCGACCGTTTATCCTTATCTCCGTGGACGAAATACCACTACATAGGATTCCCACTATCATAAAGTGGTTTTCAAATACAGTTTAGATTTATGTAGACTAGTTCTTGTGCACTTGCAAATTACAATGTACGTAGTTAAATATCAAAGTTTTTTTGTTTATTTTCTTACTATAAAATAAGTCAGATTCATTTTGAGCTAAAATCTATAAACATGAATTATTACATTTCCCATAAATTTTATATAAATATTTTTTAAAATAATTTATGAAATAGATTTATGTGTAAAACTGGGGTCGATATACTTTTATATACTTGCATACACAACATCTATTTTTTAAATTATATCAAACTTCATGTAATATATTTGTTTATCGGAACAAATTATCGATCTCCAATTTGTTTATCTTAGTCATTAAATGTAGTGTTAAGTTTGAAAAATAATACAATGGTATCTTGTTGGTGTGTTAATAAAAATATAACCAAATATTTAATATTAAGATGGTTTGTATAAGCTCGGCACAAAGCACATACTTTTCACAAGACTACGAGACATCTTAACTATTGATAGACTTAAAATAAAAAAATAAATACTAAAGATTAATGATGACTTTAGTATAATTTTATATGACATATATAATTTTATATGACAAAATCATTGGCATAAGCATATTAAAAATTTTGCATGAAAATCACTTCTAAAGATTCCTAATTTTACTCAAAAAATTAAGTTTTACTATAAAATATTAAAAAAATATTATCATTTATTCCTTCTTTTTTTATATTTAGTTGAGCCGATATATCAATCATTCTCAATCTTTATCTTTTTCCTTGGTTATTTTACAGTAGTGTCTTCATCGTTTACATCACTTTTGATACCAGGTTGGTATATAATAGAGAGCAAAAGACAAGGCAAGAGTTGAGAAATATATTAGAATATATTTAGATCAATCAAATTATATTATTACTAATAACCAATATACATCATAAACAAAATATGTTGACAATTTTAAACTAAAAGTAGACTGTATAGGCCCTTTAACATAACTTTTTTAATGCAAGTAACTCTCAAGAGTAATTTTGAAAATCTCTTGGAGCCAGGAATAAATAACTAACATGTTTGTAGTGAAAACTAGGGAAACGTAATACATTCTTAAGAATTATTAATCTTTGCTTAATTTGTTTATAATAACAGGATCTCATTATTAACTAACTACAAGGTCTAGTATATTATTTTTTATTGTGCGTTAAAAGCAGGCAGAGGACTCAGGTGAGTCCTCATCACAATGAATGTTATACAATTTAAGTACAAAGAAAAAATAAGAGTTGATCAATGATGTAGTTGGTGAGAGGAAAACTCTAGAAGCTTAATTTGGATATGTGGATATATTATAGGTGAAGATGGAGAAGGTTGGTTTTGAAAACAGTGGGTGTGTGGGGGGTAATTAATATGGTTTTTGTTTGTGTAGTTTTCATTTTCAAGATATTTGTGGTCATGTGGATATATATAGCTATAGCATTGCTACTCTCTTTTGATTTTGTGGAAGAGTTTGGATGTAAAAAAAAATTAAATTATCTAATTTGTTAAAGTTGGATCATATAAGCTTAGCCTATACATAAAATTTATTTTAACAAACACATATATGCAAGTATTACAATTGGCATTAAGATCTCAGATACGTGTGAGATTCTCTTTGACTTTTATACAAATAGTATCTATTTAAATAATAATAATATACTTAAACTTTATGATCTGGAAAAAAAGGATCAAATATACAATATAATTAATTACTTTAAAGTAATTTAATCTAATCTAATAAGAAAAAATAAATGAAAATGATGTAAAAATTATTGTAATTTCATAATTCATAATTTTTAAACAATCTAATCTAATCAAATAATCTAATCTAATAAGAAGAAAATAATAAAGACGTATACATATTGAAAGAGATGAAAGTGCTATGAAAATTATTATATTTTTATTTTGAAAAAAATCATACATACAATATAATTAATTGTTTTAAAATAATCTAAGCTAATCTAATAAGAAGAAAATAAATAAAAGTGCTGTAAAAATTATTGCTATTTCTTAATATAAAAAAGATTAAATATACAATATAATTAATTACTTTAAAATAATCTAATCTAATCTAATAAGAAGAAAATAATAAAGGCACATACATATAGAAGGAGATGAAAGTACTATGGAAATTGTTGTAATTTCTTAGCTTATATATATTGGTAAGTGATGTTGCATGTGTGTGACGCCCCTAGTTTCACATAAATCTGCAGTCCAAGGTGAACCCAATGATGTCAAACCTGCCATGCAACCAAACATTATGCAACAACAGGTTCCATCATCACAGTTATATCTCTTTAGTAAAATCAAACAATGATCAAGTGTAGGTACAAAGCAGGTAAAGTAAAGGTAATAATGCAAGAAACACAAGATAAAGAAATATCCAATAATAAATATAAGTGTGTTCCACAAAAGAAAAGAAGTACATCTGATAAACTAAAATAAAACTATGAATCTCTAACATGTAGGAGTCAACTCACGCTGCACAGACAAGAAGAACTTGTGAGAGGGCAGAGACCGGTTCCCCTGTGGTTTCTCCGATAGTCAAGTTAGTGAAACCTGAGTGGGCAAAGCGAAGGTCAGGAACCGATGTGATTCTGGAGGAGGCAATGTTCCATTTCAGAGGGTCTGTATGAGCTCCTCTGAATTAACGAAGAATCGTGTGTTCTTTTCCTTTAGAGAGAAAGAGAGAGAGAGAGAGAGCTTTTCCATTAGATTCTGCCCCCCCCATTGGGAGATTAGGAGTCTACCTGTATATATCTCCGCCATGATGATAGATGGGTCACCTCTAGCCCTACATAGGGAGGTAGTGGTGAAGTGCGGGCTAAGATCCAAGTCATCCATCCCTTTACAAGTGTTGGTTGGTGACTGGAGGAGAAGTTAATTCGGTACGGGAGGGGGTGTCTCTATATTTTTTAGGGAAGTGATTAAGAGCGTGGCAGAAGACACACTGATATGCTGAGTCATCCATTGCTTTACAGGTATCGGCTGGGGGCGGGAAGTCACTTCGGCACGGGAGAGTATGTCTCCGCATTTTTCGGGAAGTGATTGAGAGCGTGGCAGAAGACACGCTGACATGCTGAGTCATCCCTCACTTTACAGGTGTCGGCTGGCGACTAGAGGGGAAATCACTTCGGCACTGGAGAGGGTGTCTCCATATTTTTCCAGAAGTGATTGAGAGTGTGGCAGAAGGCACGTGGGCAGCTGACAAGTCATGGAGATCGTCAGGCTAGATTCTGGATAAGGCTTGTCCGTGGTAGACTAGGATGCTGACATATGCTCTAAGGGAGAGGCTTGAGGCGGAGGTCGAGTCCTCAACTTAGTCGACAGCAGGGAATGTCCATCAAGTCGTCTTCATAAGTTGCCAAATAAGTGGTCGAGTGGACTAGGTGGGCCGTCCTTGACGATAGGGTCGACTGTGTTAAACCCTAGAGAGGGGATGATTAGGGTCTTATGCTAATTTAATCCGATTTTATGCCAATTAAAACTTACTAAAGAATTATTCATGCAAGATAGATATACAATATGATATGAGCAAGAATATGCAATATGAATAAATAGATATATCCTAGCAAAGAGGTATATGATAAAATATATGCAAGGATATATAAACTAACACAATGGCGAACAATCTAAACTAAAGATACAATTTTGATAGGGCAATATAAACAATGCAAACACACAATATGATCACGGAGTTCGGACCTTCCGTCCTACATCTCCGCTCCCCACTCCAGGGGAGAAATCCACTATCACAATCGGGTTTTCTACACTCATCCGAATAACGTTTACACCTCACAATACGGTTTTCTAGCTAACCGAAAACTTCAGAACTACACAATTGATCTCCACAAGATCACACTCACAATTAGGCATGAATGCAACAAATTTGTTCTCTATAATAGATGAGAACTCAATGTAGGCTCACACTCAATGTCACAATCCCACACCCCAAATAATACTATGAATATAAATACAATAAGCTCAATAGGTTGTGTGTGAACAAAGAGATAAATCAAAACAAGTCTAAACTCAATTTAATCTAGCAAAATAAATATGACAAATTAAGCATAAACAAGCCAGATAAAGAGTTTAAGAAAACTTCTCTAAAACAAGAGTGGATGAATGTAGATTGAAGCCCAAACAAGATTGATGATCTCCTCAAACTCTTGTGAAATTCTCTTCACAAACAAACTCTTAAACACTCTTTTAAACAAACACAAAACAAGCTTAAACCCTTGTTAAACTCTTTTAAATTAAACACTCTTTTAAACAAACACAAAACAAGCTTAAACCCTTGTTAAACTCTTTTAAAACATTCTTTTGGATTATCAAATAATAAATGCAATGGGATATATATATGGTAGAAGAAAACAACCCCAAAAACCCTAAAAAACCCACTAAAAGATAAAATTCAGCAAGTTACCGTTACTATGCAACGGTAACATTGACGATCGACCGTGGTGGTCGACCGCGAGAAGTAAAACTACAAAACTGCTCTCTGGATTACAGGCGGTCGACCGCACTGTAGCACGGTCGACTGTAGCGGTCGACCGTGAAAACTGACAGTTTCTAAAATCTGGAAATCTGCGTATCTGATTTTATAAAATCAATTAAAAATATAAATAAACTTAAAAAAATCATGAAATATTGAGAGAAGATTTTAGACATGTAGATAAACATGTTAGAGAAAGAATTTCTGAAATATCATTTTCCAGTTGAGAGAAATAAATGTTTGAACATAGATATATAGTTTCTGAAAAAACTGCTGAAAACTCGGTTTTGTAAATTCAATTAAAAATAACAAAACAACTCCAAAATTAGTAAAAATTGAGGAAATATTTTTATATATGATGATAAACATGTAAACAAAGAAAATTTTCAAATCTCATTTCCCAATTTTGAAAATGCATCTGTTTTGCAAAAACATGCACGAACATGTGCACAAATATGAACTTATTTAAAACTTGATTTTGTAAATTCAATTAAACATAGCAAATTAATTCCAAAATTGATAAAATTTTGGGAAATATTTATAAACATGAAAATTAAACATGTTAGAAAAAGAATTTCTCAAAGTGAATTTCTCATTTGTAAAAACTCATGTATTTTGCAAAACTTGTAAATACATGTGTACATAAACTTCTTGATTTTTGACTATTGAGTTAAACAATATTTTGAAACCTTTTTAAATGATTTCATAGACTTAATGAAATATGGATACAATGATTGTTAAGTCCACAAACCAATAACTCAATATTTTGTCAAAATTACTCAGAATCAAGAATTGTGTGTATGTGTGATATTGAGCTCAAAGTATTAAAACACAAGTATAAAGGCTAAACTAATTTACCCAAGCTTGATTGGTCTTCAATATGCTTGACTTGGTAAATTCGTGGATGAAGCTTGAACTTGAATCTTTAACTTGAATTGTATTACTTCACTCCACTATTCCGCCAACCTCCATTGGATATGATCGTGAATACGCAATTTCATCCATCCTCCAACGTGTTGTTTGTCTATAATAAATAGATAAACACAAACACTAGATAAACAACATTAGTAGTAAAATATTTGTTAATCATCATCAAAACAAAGAGGCCAACCATCTCTCCCTTTTTGATGATGACAAACAATTTACAAAACGGATATATGCATGAAATGAAATGAATATACAATATTATAATTATCATGCATATAAATAAAAAGAATATACTCATAATATTTCTCCCTCTTTGATAACATCAAAAAAGGAAAAAAATAAAAGAATGAAGAGAGCGAAAGCTCCCCCTATCAATATGCATGTGTGAGTATAAAAATAATAATAGAAAAGGGAAGACTCCCCCTATCAAAATACCTTATGGAATATATGCAATAAAGATCAAGGCGCACATATGTGAGTAAGCATAGATATAAGATATGCTAAATACAACTCACATATAACACATATGTATATATAACATCATGAAGGGTGTTACGAAGATTTCAAGATGTATATATACAAACCAAACATTTATCATTCTTGCCCCCAAAGAGATAAAATGAGGATCCAAAAAGACATCATTTAAAAAAATTTATGAAGGAGGATCCATGAAGGAAAATAATTTGCTTATAGGTAGGGGGACAAGGAAACAAAATCAAGAAATGATATTTTCAAAATAAATCATAATAATGTATGGATTTATGAAATCAAAAAGAATAAAAAAACATGAGAATAATGAGAAAAAATTTTCAAATAAAAACAAATCACTGAAATGAAATCATAAATCGATATTTATATCCAAAAACGATGTTTGATCAATAAAGAAAACTTTCTTTGTAAGACTTGATCAAATCACTCATTGAATACATTATAAAGCATATTTGATTGTGTTATATAATGAATTCAAAGCAACAAATCAAAACATATTTTTAACAAAAGAAATGCAAGAGAGTCAATAATATATCAAGCTCTTAAGTTTGTTCAAACCCATATAAGGACTTTTAGTACCCGGTAAACAAGATTTGGGAATAAACGCACAATAAACCCGGGGGGTTATATAAACACAAACCTCTCATCAAAACAAAACCAATAATCATGAAAATAAAAGAATTTGAGCAATAAAAAGAATTATTTTCATGTTCAAAAATTTAAAGTATAATTTTCAAAACCAAGAAAAGGCAAAAGAAAAATACTAAAATTCTTAGTTTAAAAATCAAATTTGTTTTGGTACCCAAAAATTCATCGTACCAAGAGATTTAGAGACATGACTCATATATTTTAAGCTCAAAGCCCTAGGGTTATGAACCCAGGGGACTTGGAGGCAATCCGATAAGCTTTGGAGGGATTTCTTCTCAAGTTCATAGTGGACATCATGCACATGGCCACAAAGATAATTCTTTATGTAGTAAGCGATTCTAATTCCGATAAAAATTTATGCTATTGATGAACTCGCTTGTGCAATAAGAAATTATCGCATGCCTACACTAATTCGTAAAAAATTTTATTGATCTCAAAAAGCAAGCATGTTAGTTTAAATCCGATCAATGAGAACTAGCCTGACCAATTTTGATATCATTCTCAAGAAAATGTTGCTCTTAAAAAAATTAAATGGATAATGTTAAAATTAGATAAATGAAAAATTAACATATCATCCATCTAGCTTAACCATGCTAATAAAGATGTCAATGCTAAGAAGAGAATGTATTAGAAAGAATTTGATTCTTTTAAGAAAAGACCATACATCTCTACTTCTATATCAATTGAATGTTGTGACCATAATAATAAATTAAATCTTGTGAAAACCGTATATCATGCTTATCACTTTAAACACATGCATTAGTAGACTAAGAAACTTATGACAGTGTGTAAAAATCTATGGCTATAACTTATAATCACCTACACACTATTATGCACATTTGTATAGCAAAGGTTTACAAGTGGCTACCCATTTGGTGTCGTAAAGGTCATTTAGCTAAATTTTTGCTATGATGCACACAAGCAATAAAATGTCAATGCTCCCTTGTGGCATCTCATCAATGTTCTCTCATCACATGTACACACACATGCACGCCCATTG